TTATTTTTATTTATTTTGTAGACATTCAACGTTCAAGATCCATTTAGTGAACAAGGGGCATCAACGAGATTCGAGAGCGTTGGGCATTAGTTTTCTGCAAAGCAACTAGCATTTAGTATTTATTTAGTAGAAAACATTGTTAGCATATTAGTAAATGATATGCAATTTTACTGTTAACTCTCATGAATTTTGATGGTGTAAAATGATATTACACTTATTTTTTGCTAGTACGATTAATACTTATGTTTTTTGGATAATTAATAATTAGTTTTTTTTGGATATTATGGTTGTTTGTGAATATTATTTAATAAATAACGGTAGTTATGTTAAAAAACATCATTATAAATATGTTTTAAATTCCAGGCTGAAAATCCATTATTCAATAACGGCTGATACTGAACAGACATTGAATGTATTTTATAACGGTTACAGTGTGGAACCCATATGGAATGTCATGTTATTAGACAACGTGGCTGAAGCGCATTTGATAACGGTTGGATAACAACTGACGTAGAATGTCGATGTTCTATAACGGTTACGACAGCCGACATAGAAAGTGGCCGACTTTCTATATCCCTTGAAACAATGTCGGTTCCCGAACCGACATAGAATGTCGATTTTAACCGTTATAAAATGTGTTTTTCCTACTAGTGATTATAACACAAAAATATGCACACATTCATTTAGGAATTGCACTCCTGACAAATTTATAAATCTATTTATTAAGCACATGTATCATCCATTTATGCACATATTATATTATATTATGCATTTCAAACAAAGTCTAATACTATGAATTAGTACTTTATGTTTTCTAAAACAATAAAAACGAAAATAAAAGTCACAAGTACCAACCCAGTTTCAATGCTTAATAGTTGACATATCAACACTTGTGCTTCACGTATATGCACATTTGGGGCCTCTTTGGCAATCGGCGGTTAGCGGTTAGCGGATTGAGTCAACGGGTTCTAAACAGCGGATTGAGTCGGTGGGTTTGACTGGTAGATTAGTTTGGCGGATTACAGAAAGATATTTGGTAACTTAGCTGTTTGCTTTTAGCGGTTAATAGATAAAAAGACAAAAAAGGACATTAGCACATTTAAATATTTTTTTTGTTTAATACTACGTATGATGTTAACGCAAAAAAACATATTCGTATCATATACTTCGTACATAATTTTTACTACGTATTTAAGAAGAAACAAAAAAACAGGGTTTTAAAATAAAAACCAAAAGCATGAGCAACCACAACTGTAATTAGGGACTCAAAAATCAACATTCTTTCACTATTCCCTATATGCTCTTTGTTTGAACTGCATTTAATTTATACTACATAATAAAATAAAATAGGGAAATAGACCTAAATAAGACTAAAATAAGAGATGGGAAGGTAAATAAAACTTGGAACTTTTTAAACCCTATATAGGACTCTTTTGAATTGAAGTGATGAAATTGCCCTTACTAATGCAGGCCACACCAACATAGGCAGCCATACTTTTAGCAATCGTCAGGATTTACAAATTGCCGGCAACAATCCCCCTTGGCCGTCGGTCGCAGACTCACAGGTCACCCCTGCTTTTACTGCCGGTCTGCATCAAATTATCGCCGGAGTGGTTGTCGGAGTAGTCAGTGGCGCGAATCATAACCCATGTGGTCTGCGGCGTGGGAGGAATTCTCTGGCGCGAATCATCGCCCTCTTCCTGTTCTTCTTTCTTCCCGGCATCTTCTTCTCCCTCTTTTTCTTCTTCTTTCCCGCTTCCTCCTTCTGCTGCGATGAATGTTCGTAGGTTGTTTCTGTTCTTTTACTTTTTGATTTTCTTTTTTTACTTTTCAATTTATAATTTACAGAGTGTTACTTTTGCTTTTCTAATTTTTTTTATACTTCGAATTATTTTGCAAATCAGCTAATGAATTTAATTTTATGCAAAAGGTTTATTATTTATTTTGACAAATCTATTTCATTGATAATGAAATGAAAAACTTTATTATTTATATTGTATTGTCAACATTAATAACATTATCTTTAATTTGCTAGACTGTTTGCACTGTGTTGAAAACTAGTATCTCACCCGTGCAACGTAATACATCAACGTTTTAAATATTACTCAAAAATAAATAGATTTACAATCATATTACAACATATTATTTATCACAAGAATGATAGTCGTAAATAAAATAAATAATAACAAATATTAAAATTTTAAAACACAAATTGCAGTGCTAATTACATATCACAAACTTTATTTAGCAAGACAGACGTGTCACCCTTAAAACGACAACATAGAGATGTCAAGCCCATGTGTAAAAACAGAATGTCTCCTTGATTCTTGTTCATTGTCATCAGGTTAGCTAACCATTAAGGAGAACTGTCTATGCATGAACGTGAAAGAGACTCACATCCATCGGAAATAGAAATCTTGGGGCATCCTTTGACCCTCAGTTGTATGGGCTCCATGTTTTGTGATGAAAAACCGGGTACTATTACATACGTTAGCCGAGTTATCTATGTTCCTCACGAGTCATGACTTAACAATCCATAATATTGTATATCATTCTTCCTAGTTTCTTAAAGAAGCTCATTGTCTGATGTTGAAAAATGTGTTGAATTTAGGTTGAAACAAGTCTTTTCCTTAGAATTGTTCTGCATCACCATAATTTTAGGCTTAATAAAACCACAAGTAATTAACCACAATTACAATTCAAAGATCAATCCACACGTCTAAATACTTTTGATCTATAAATGAGATTACAGATGTTCAAGATTAGGAGAGGGCTCAAAATAGGCAGTAATGTATCAGCAAATATTTAATTCCAAATAGCTAGGATGAGAAAACAAAATCTATGCATGATATATACGATCAAAATTTTGGCATCTTAGTGCATCATAATTCAGCATATTTTGAAAGAAAAGCAGCCCGATGCAAGGGTTAGCCCAACTTATATCAATACATATTTCGCTACGATTACTGCTCTTATAATAGAGACAACACAAGCAACCTCAAGTCTAAATTAGTATGCCTCAACTCCCTCAAGCGAGTTTTAAAATTTCATTTTAAAACCATGAACTGTCCTAAAGGGAAACATCATTATCAATAGACAAACAACAACTTAACCGAGCTCTAAATCTGGACTTAATAGTTAATACATGAAAATACTTATCTGTACTTAGTTACCAGTACATGTAAAATATTTCTTGTCTCTTAAATCAAAATCTCAATACTTTCGAAGTTAAATTTTGGTTCAGTAATAATGGCAGGGCCTCATTATTTTGGCAAACTTTCCTACCCTTATTCATACCATAACTTCTCAAGAGATAGCATTGGCTAAAGTATATTTCCTTTTTCATTTTCTCACCTGTTCTAACATTTCATTGCAAGCTACAACTAAGTTACTCCGGAGTACAAGATAAGCTCACAAAGGTATCACCGCCCAACATAAAAGATGGTTATTTTCTAATTGGATAGTGCCACTCGGGTTGGAGAACTCTTGAAGAACACATATTAGGAGAATCCCAGGTCAGTATAAAGCGAATAGACTAAAAAAATAAACACTCTTCTAATGGAAAACGTGTATCTTCCGCGAAGCAACTTTGGTCTCCTACAAATTAAAGGAAAAAACACGGTGAGCATCGGAATGAACAAACAGAAATTAAGATGAATACAATTCACAAAGTAAAAGTTGGCAGATTTGAAACTAATAATTAACTGTTAGTTTATCAAATTATGTGAAAACCAAAATTATATGAAACAAATATGAAATAAAAAACATGTTAGTTTGGTAGAATGAACGGAATTATAGAAGCTGCAATGAAAGGAAATCAGTAAATTTTGACGCTAGAATTCCTGTAGCTCATCAATCTCGCCATCCTTGTTTCATAGGTATATCCTCTGTAGCAAATTCCATTCTGGATATATAGCATGGTTTCACCCCTAGCAATCCGATTGACAATTTGTAAATGAAAATTGAAGACGGAAAAGGAAGCGTGCGATTAAGAAGGAAGAGTTGAGGAAGTGTTGATGGTGCTGGAGAAGGAAACGTACTATTCAAGAAGAGTTGATTGCGCTGAATTTGTTTCTGGAAGAAAACGAACGGTTGAAAAGGAAGGGCTTGGGAAGTAACTGTCCAGAGGCAATAAATAGGGAGAAATGCGATTAAATAAGGGAGAGAAGCTGGAAAAGTTTGAGAGATTGAATTTTGCTTTTAGGTATATAGGATAGGATAGGATAGGACAGGATAGGATAGGATGTGATAAGATGAAATTAAATTACATTGTTAATGTTTATTGACAATATGATCTACGAGTACATTGTAATATTATTTTAACAGAATTAGAAATTGTCTCTAGCATTGTGAATTCATATTGTGATGACATGGCCACATTGAGTAACATAATTGTTACATTGTATCCTTTTTTCATTGATAATATTATGAAATTGTGACATTGTGTTATAATATTTGACATTATTAAGAAGTGACATTATTTTTATTGATGACATTGTGTTATAATATTTGACATTGCTAAGAAGTGACATTATTTTTATTGATGACATTGTGATACTAATACTATGTCATTGTCGCGAACTGATATTGTATTCGTTGATGACAGATGACATTGTTGTAACTTTTATATTATGTAGTATAAAATTGTTATTACAATGTCATTGACATACGTCATTGACATTGTTATTGACATTGTGATTGAAATTGTCTATACACAATGACATTATCACGGAGTTTTTGAAAATAACACTGTTAAAAGTTAAATATCAACGATAATTTATTACAGTTTCATTATTAGCAACATGGTGTTATATATTTTCTTCACACCATCATTGTTAAAATTGTCGCAATGTCATGACAATGAAAATGTAAATGCTACAACAATAACAATGTCAATGTTGTGACAATGTCAATAATATAAAAATAACATTGTTAAAAATAAGGCTAATACTATAAAGTAGATATTATTTTTAAATAAAAACATATAATTAACAATAAAGTTTACAATGTCATCATATGAAAATGTATTATACAATGTCATCGTAGAACATTGTAATATACAACGTCATCATACGACAATGTAATATACAATGTCATTATCATACTACATTGTACGGAGTAATATACAATGTCATTGAATTATAATGTAACAATGTCATGGACTCGTCGTACAAACAATGTCATCATATGACAATGTAATATATAATGCCATTGTATGGCAATGAAATATACAATGTCATTGCGATAATAACAATTTAAATATCATTGTAAAAATGTATGACAATCCAATCAAGCTGTGACAATAATAAACACCGACAGCCCCAAAATAAAAATAAACAAGGAATAAAAAGTGGAATTACAACTTGAAAAGGGAATTAAACAAAGAAACAAAATAAGAGTAAACAAGGAATAAAAAAACTAAACAAAACCCAGTGAAATCACATGGACAAACCAGATCTGCAAAATAGAAGCCACCAAAGAAAAGAAGAAGAAAAGTGCAATTTTGATGCACTAAAACGAAGTAACGAACCAAAAGGCTCGGTGGAATAAACAAATTATTAGATCTGGTTCCAACAACAACTAAGAAAAATAAGAGAGAGCGGAAGGAGGAGGAGGACTCCGGCCGCCGCTGCCTTGTCTCCATCTTGCTGTCGCCGCCGCCTTGTTCGTTTGCCATCACCGTCATTATTTCACTCATCGGAAGGAGGAGGACTCCGGCCGCCGCTGCCTTGTCTCCATCTTGCTGTCACCGCCGCCGTGTCAGTTTGCCGTCGCCATTGTGTCAGTTTGCCGTCTCCGTCTTTATTTCACTCATCGGAAGAGGAAATCAGGACTCAGGAGGTTCGAAGGTGCTACCGTTCCTTTCGTAGATACAACAGCTACGTCCACCACCAGTGATGGCATGGTCCGTGCCAGAACGAATTAAAGGAGAGGAGAAGGTAGCTTAGCTTGTTGCAAGAGGGTGTGCGAAAGAACGGGACTAGCTGCTACTATTAAATAAGGGCAAAAGTGGTATTAAGTAAAATAATAGTCTTATTTAAGTACTCCCTCCGTTTCTAAAAGAACCTCACACTTTCCTTTTTGGGATGTTTAAAAAACAAAGTCACACTTCCCTTATTTCCTTATTTGGCAAAGAAATCTACTTCAAACAGTGCCAAACAGTGCTAAACAGTGTCCAAACAGTGTCAAACAGTATCTAAACAGTGTTTTTTTTACAGTAAAGTCAATTTATTTCCTTAATAATCGTGAAGTCAAACCGTGACTTTCTTTTGGAAACGGAGGGAGTATAAAAAAGTAGGCGGTCCTATTCGGGTATATAGGTAAAGTTATGGTCCTATTTAAGACCATCTCTAAATAAAATATGGAAAAGAAAATGATTTTTGGTATACAATATACGCAGTATAGCTTTGTGGCAATCATGGCATAAATAGGGAATATTTATAAATACCTACCTGGCCTGGTGATTCTTTTCTTTAGAGAGGTGAAGAAGGCCTTGCGAGAGGGAAAGGTCTGCCTGACGACTTTTGCTTGGGAGTGTGCGGAGTATGGAAGAAGAAGAATACGAAAGGGTACGGTGAGAATTGATAATTTATCCATAATCGCTGATCCCTAAACGCTCCTCTTATCAGTGTTTTAATTTTCAGCGGTTTTTGCCAAAACGCCAAAGTAACCCGCCATTTCCCAAACACCTATTTTCAACGATTTAACCAGTTAAAAATGCCATTTTTGGTTAAATCCGCCAAAATTTGGCTGAAACGCCATTTATCAAACACGGCCTTAAACATTTTGGTTGCACTTGCACTTACATCCACTTTTCCAAAGAGACATAATTTACGAATAAAATAACCTTTCATTTTTCACTCTTCCATAATTAATTTGCTCGGCTCATTATGGTAAGAGAATGATTGATGACGTGCAATATGCCTAATTTAATAGCTCCGTAGATCGGTTTGTTTTAAATGAAAGTGGAAAAGTAATTTACAAGCTCACCCTCACGTATTTAATTACACAACTCTCAAAATTAATGTCTTTAATTGTCTACGTCTAGTGCACTGAAATAACGGTATGTTCTTGTATCTTGGCCATTTAAATCTCTCATCTCAACGTATAAGATTTATTCTTATTTTTCATGTGAGGAGGACTTTTTACTTGAACCCAACCCTATATATATATAATATATATATATATATATATATATATATATTGTATATATATACACACACACACAAACTAGACTTGATGAGGAACATATTCAAAAAATTTCATCAAAAAATTCCACCAGGAAGATGCCCAAACGGGCTCGGCCGGACGGAGCATCCCGTCAGGCCGGCCTGACATGAAGATTTATATATATATATATATATATATATATATATATATATATATATAATATCACGTGAGAAATGGGTCTTAAGCTGAGAACTACAAAGTTTAACTAATAGAGACAATAGGGTAACTTACAAAACAGAAATCATAACTTATAAACCCAACAACTCTAAATCAAAAGTATAATTTTATAGTGATAAATGGAAAAGTATGAGATTACAATGAAAAACAATAGTAGTAGCTGAAAAATATTTACAATTTTTTTTATCAAAATGTTATTTATTTATTTACCAAGACATATATGTCCTTTAAACTATTAATGCGTTAAACATAACTTATAAAGCCAAATGTTTAACTTTTACAACTTTTAAAATTACTTCACAGTTTTCAGCCTAGTAACACTTCTCACCTGATCGGCTGATCCGCTTCCTGTGTGTGTATTCATTCATCTATAAAATGGATTAAAAAAATACACAAATAAGATAATTAAAATATATGTGGGGGCACCCATGACTCCGTGAGCACCCGCAGGGACACTGGGGTGGGGATGGGGCGAGTCGATCTTGGATTAACGTAACGGGGATGCGGCGGGGATTAGGAAATTTTTTTAGACATGAGGCGGGGATGAGGAGTGAACCCCCGCCCCAAACCCGGCCACCCCAGTGCGTAAGCGTATACGTCTTCGTATGCCCCATTTTGTATGTGAAGTGGCCTGTAAAAAGTAGTGAAAAAAGTTTGAGAAAGTCATGATTAAATTTGAAGATTTGAAACACTTTCCGTGAATGTCTCTGATCCATCGTCGACTGAGAACATGCACCTACACTATATATATATACCCTTAATAGAGGGTAGGACGATGTATATATGTAGTGTCTCAAACAAAGAAGTAATCATTATATAAATACAAATACACATAGCATCTCATCCACATTGCTGCCAGCTGTTGTGAATCATGAAACAGGAGGAAGATCCAACAATCCCAAATCAGCCGCCCAGAGGTTCATGCAAATTCATTTGCTCCAAGTTAATTTGTTTATGTCAAAATTGGATCAGGCCACATACATGCCTGTAGTAGTAAAAACTTTAAAGTTGTTTTTATTTAGATTGTTTTTAGTCTCAAATGAGACCAGACTTAAACAGATCAGGCCAAATTTCCATAGTTGGAAAATACACAGAGACGAGACATTTACCGAACTAGTTTAGATCAAACTAGACCAGACTTAAACAGATCAGATCGGACCAGACCAACAAATTGTAATCCAAGTAAAAACATCCTAATATTGTAATTTTATGTTTATCTCGATCGGTTGGTATGTATACACACATAGATAATACGGAGTAGTATAATTAACAAAATATGAATAAATTCCACTTTTGGTCCTATGAGCTTGATATCAATTCCACATTTAGTCTACGTCTTTCACTTTGTTCACTTTTGAGTATTGTGTGTTCGCCATATATGGTCCTTCCGAGAATGTTTCCGAAGATTAAAATCACCGGAAAAGGACCACGAATGGTCAAAAAACATTAGTCAAGGGTCAAAAATGGACAAATTGAAATATGTGGTCTAAATGTGGAATTGACATTAAACTCATAGGACCAAAAGTGAAATTTATTCACAAAATATGGTTTTTTGTAAATATTGCAAAATACTCAAGCTGAAACTCTAGAGAGTGTGGGTATATATAAAGAAGATTTTGGAACATTTAACAAGAATACTTCACTTCAAAAATTAGAATGAATCTAGAGCATGCAATAGACTCAAGATCTAATGACCTAAAAGTGACAGAAATTCTGTGATTAAAAATGAAGACGATTATGGTGACATTATCGTAGTTAAGTGATTTTTCGTCATGATAAGTACAATGCATATAGACAAATATTGAAATATGTAATACCGTGGGAGCAACTCATGGTGAGCATGGTGTTCCCATAGCTAATTCACACGTGAACAGTAATACGCGTAAACAGAAACTATTTTTTTGCTCCCAGCAACAGGGTGATGTAACTTGCGTATAATGAAATGTAACTCATGTTTATATGCAATGTAACTGCAGACAAGTTGAGATGTAACTTTTCTAATTCAGAGAAGAAGAGATAAAACATTGATTTAAATGTAAACAATGGAAAAAGTAGTCTAATTGTTCAGTTGCTTTACGCCTTTACATGAGTAGTGAATATGTTTTGTTATAACATTAAAGCCATAAAAATATTTTTTAATCCTTTTTTTATAAAAAAAATCATTTTAAAATCATTTTTTTTGGCAAAAAAAGTCTTTTTATTTTTTCAAAAAAATGGATTTTTTGTTTCGATCAACAGCTGGGGTTTATTTTGGTATGTAACCGGTGTTATGAAAAATGTAATTCGTGTTGATGGAAAAATCTAACTTAGGTGTATGCAAAATGTAATTTGTTGAGACAAGTCTAAATGTAACTCGCACACAAGAAGATGTAACTCACGCATAAAATTGTTTAACTCCCTCATAAGAAAATGTAACTTCATATACTATCAAATGTAAACAATGAAAACAAGGAGCCTAATTGCTCAATTACATTACCAAATAGTTGTTGGGATTGGAAAATTCTTCTATTCAATATCAAGAACAGAATTACAATAGGAGGAGCAAACTCTCACACTCAACTATTACAAAAAACTAATCCTCACCAATACACTTCTACTCTAAGTGTATTTTCACTCTTCACACACTTTTCTCTCTTTCTAAACTGATGATATGAACAACAATAGAACACTCTATTTATAGGCTAGGTTGGAGACAAGAGAGATTTGCATCCAAGCTTCCTAGTTATCTCCATATCTCCTTCCATGTTCATGTGTTTGATAGCTCCTTCCTAGAAGGTGTTATATGTCTCTTGGCAACTTCCAAGAAAGAAGGTGGAAACTCCCTACAAATCTCCCCCTCCACCTTTTTCTTTATTTCTCTCGTTCCTGCGATGCTCGCAGGCTCCCCCTCGCTAGCAACAAGTATCCATTTGGATGTGGAATACTTTCTCTGTGGAACTATGCCTCGCATAGAACGTCGAACATGAGTACCTTCAGCTTCGTTTTCATATGAAGGCTCCCCCTGCTGAGGAATATCATCACTGTGAGTATCATCATCATCACCTACTGAACTATCACTCTCTTGTTCAGTAGTATCATGCATCTCCTCGTCGATGAGAGGAATGTTTGATGATACAGACACTTCATCTTCTGGAGTATGTTGTTGGCGGATTATTGGAGCACACCCATGAAACTCGTTTTCATGAAATGCAACATCTCTGCTTCGTACAACTTTCTTCACTTCGGGATCCCACAACCGGTATCCGAATTATTCATCACCATACCCGATGAAGATGCATGGGTTTGACTTGAGATCAAGCTTCTGTCTCAACTCCTTGGACACATGTGCAAATGCCTTGCACCCGAACACTTTCAAGTGAGAGTAAGAAACATCTCTTCTTGACCATTTCTTCTCTGACACTTCAAAGTTTAAAGGAACAGAAGGTGACCTGTTTATAAGATAACAAGCTGTCAGCACAGCTTCACCCCAGAATGGCTTAGGTAGTTTAGCCATACTCAGCATGCAACGAACTTTCTCCATAATGGTCCGATT